AAGCAGATCTGCACAAGAGGGACAGACAGATACCTTCAACAGGGTCTGTCACTTCATGATCTCTGTCACCTAGCCCTCCAGCTACTCAAGAGTCTTGGGTACACACACAGCCAGCATATTTCAGTTTGTTCCCGAGCCCAGAGTTGGGAACAATATGCTACTGCCTACACCATGAAAGCAGGGCCAACTTTCCATGTTTCTTTCCTTTATTTTTAATTTTGCCAGAGGGCATATATGTGTGTGTGTGTGTGTGTGTGAGAGAGAGAGAGAGAGAGAGAGAGAAAGAAAGCACTCCCCCCCCCATGGGAAATGATCATGCCATCATCTCTTCTCCTCCATTTCTCCCTCATTCAGGAATTTTGGGCATGTACACATACACATGTGTAATGTTTCTCAAGCCACCAGGTCCGGGACTCAAAACTGCATGGTCGGCCATATGAGATCCAACCACCTTAACCATCATACCAAAGACTGGCTCAACTTTCCATATTTCTATCAATATTACAGATTTTACCACTTAACTAATATCAAGAAGTTCTAAACTTTTAGTAGTGTTCTTCTGAGTCTTCATCAGAATTTAAACTTTTTCTAGCCTGCATTCTTTCAAACTCTGCCAATCTCTGCCTATTGCCTGGTTCCAAAGCCACTTGAGATATTCATTATTAGCAATAGCCCCACTTCTCAGTACCAATTTTCTGTTTTAGTTAGTCTGTTTTTCTGTTGCTGTAACCGAATACCACAGAATGGGTCATTTTAAAGAATAAAGGTTTGGCCAGCTGATGGTGTGGTAGTTAAGGTGCTAGATTCCACATGGACAGCTGACTACTTTGAGCTCCAGACGCAGTGGCTTGAAAAGTATTCTGTATACGTGTGTGTGCATGCCTAAAATCCCAAGAAGAGAATGGAGGGGAAGGTATTGTGCTGTGGCCATGTCCCTTGAGGGGTGTCTTCTCACTTTCCCTCTGTCTCTCCAGTGAGCATAAGCACTGTATAGCAAAAACTTAAAAATTAAAAAAAAAGGATTGAGCTGGCCCTGTAATACAGTGTTTAAATGCTGTGCTTTGGAAGCTAGATCCCACACAGGTTATTGGGTTCAAGTCCTGATCCTGGTGGCTTGAAAAACACACCCAGCTGTGTTCGTTTGCATGCCCCAGATCCTGACAGGATGGAGAAATGAAGGAAAAAGGATTGAGGAGTGATGACATCCTTTTGGGGGGGTTCTTTCACTTCCTTGCTCACTCAATAAAATAAATTAAGGGACCAGCAAGTGGTGTGGTGGTTAAGGCTACTGGACTCCCACATGGCTGACTGTGGTTCGAGTCCTAGTCCTGGCGGCTTGCCTTCTCACTTTCCTTCTTTCTGTCTCTCTCTAGTCAACTTCAAAAAAATAAAATGAAATAATGACAGTGAATAAAATTAAGTAATTCTTTAAAGACTAAATCAAGAGTAAAGGTTTATTCAGCTCATGGTTTTGGAGGTCCAAGGTCAAGGTGATGAAGCTAGTGAGTAGGGTCTTTTTATTGGTGGGGACTCCACAGAGTTCTGAGGTGGCACAGGGCATCACATGCCAAGAGTGTGTTTATTCAGATTCATCTTGTGTATTTCCTGTCCCAGTTCTAGAAACAGCCATTTCTCCAAGGATCCTTGGGACCTTTTATTAGAGAATGTGATTAGAAATCAAGATCTAGGTGCTAGATGTGTTCTTTGCTACTAGGTCATCCTTGTTTCTAGGCCCTCTCAGCTGACAGAGCAAGGAGATAGCTATTTCTACACTAACGTGTGTGTGCACACACATCTGTAAATATGTCTATGTGTAATCGTGTGTATCTATATTAAACATTTACATTCTTACTAAAATCTCTAACCCAGATCCATTACCATATTTACCATTCTAGACTTCTGAGTCCATCTGTAAATTCCCACTCCAGCAGTGAGAAACCCAGCTCCCACCATCCACCATATATTTACTTAAATGCTCACTTTTATATATGGAGATTGCACTTTCAGACTTTTTAACCCCTGCCCCCCTCACTCTCACCCCCAGAAATAACTGTAATCAACCAGAATATAAAGCTATGTGTAGTTCCTTTTATCTTCAGTGTTTCAGACTCCATTCACTTCCAAAGAAACTTAGGAACTGTTTCTTGTCATTGGCTTTTCCAACCCCCCTCCTTCAGTGGGATTGTCTTATGGCATTTATAATACATTTACATTCTTTTTTTATATACTGCATTCTTTCCTGGGATCTCCAGCCTTCTAATTGATCTTTTTAAAAATAGCATATATTAAGGTTTACCTTTTTTTTTTTTTTTTTTTTTTTGGTAAAGTTGTTTAGGTTTCGACAGATTCACCCATCATGGATCCACCATTATGGTATCATTCAGAATTGCTTCATCACCATTAAGAGTCCATGTGCTCCAAGTATTTCTTTCTCCTTTCTTTTCCTCCCTCCTCCTGCAACCACTGACTGTTAATTGTCTTTGTGGTTTTGCCATTTCAGAACGCTATGTTATTCGAATCTTGCAGTGTGTAGCCTTTTCAAGCTGCTTTTTTCATTCAGCAGTATACATTTAGGCTCTGACATTTTTCCCATGACTTGTTTCTTTCTTACTACTTAACATTCCATTTTGTTTCCAGTTTTTGATGATTATGAATAAAATTTCTGTGAACTTCTGAATGCAGATTTTTATGTGGACATAGTTTTTACATCAGATGTGTTAAAATATCTAGGAGCAAGATGGCTAGATTGCGTTATAAGATTGTTTTGATTTGTTAGAAACCACCAGAAAACTCTCTTCCAAAGTGGCTATTTTATTTTGCATTCCCCCCATAATGAATTACAATTCCTGTAGCCCCACTTCCTTCCCAGCAATTAATATTGTCAGATGTTTTGAATGTTAGCCATTCTGTTAGGTAAGTGCTGGTATCTGTTCTTTTAATTTGCAAATTGCTGAATGACAAATGCTGTTGAGAATCTTTTCAGATGCTTATTTTCCACCTGCTATCTTCTTTGGCGAATTGTATGTTTAGATTGTTTGTCTGATTGTTTACTTGGCTTGCTTTAACATAGTTTTACATACTTTTTGTGGATTATTATCCATAATAACAAATTGCATTTACAGCATTACTTAGCATACCTGCATTTACCTGTGGTGTATTTGTGTGCATTAAAATAATGTTCACTAAAGCTAAGCAGAAACAGTATTTATACTTATTCCCTGGGTTACAGTCTGATTTTTTGTTATTTCCTTTTTTTAAAAAAAGACTTATTTAATTTTAATTATTATTATTTTAAAATTTGCAATAGAGCATGTGTGCTTACCAGAGAGAGAGAGAGAAAGAGAGAAAGTGAGAAAGCAAGCCTCCAGGTCTGGGACTCAAATGACTGTCAACCTTGTGGAAGTCCAGCATCTTAACTACCATGCTGTGGGCAGGCTCCCTGTTGTTTCATTTTTTAAAAATACTGTTGCATCTCATACTGACAAATAGTTCTTTCATAGTGTCCTGCAAGTCACAGCACTCCACGCCATGCTGATTCTGCGCCCCCACTTCTCTCACATCCACACAGCTTTCCCAGCCCCTCACATGACTGAATATTCTTTGCTTCTCGTGCGCACACAGCTAACTTTTTGGGTGGACTTTTCCTTTTTTCCCATGTGGGCACATGTGAGGAAGGGCTCAGCATTGTGAAATGGAGTCATTGCCGGTTGGGGCTTCTTTAAGCCCTAGGCTGGAGAGGGCGACTGGCTGCCCCAGACTAAGTGCTTCAGTTGAGGTGTCTTGTAGATGGGGTCAGGGCTTCCAGGCATAGAAGTTTGGAACAGCAGATCCTCCAACCCATGTCTTCTTTC